TGGGTGACTATTACTATCTCGAGCTCCTCCGTGCTTCGGAAGGCACGTTAATCCGTTGGTCCCGGCTGCATCTGCAGTCGTTAGCACCCACCAATCCGGACTGGGCCCGCGTGGTGGGTCATGGCCCAATCTCCCTATTCCATCCATAGGGAAGGCCTGTGCCCCAGTAGTGGGGATATTAAGAGGCTGATGATGATGATGATGATGACATAAGATTGGTTACTACTGGTCGCTTTCACAGGCGACTGTTATTTCATTTAATGTTTCATTTATTTACATGACGTCTTTTACTTTAAGTAGATATGGGAAAGAAAGTGACATCAACAACTCTTACGAAACTTAAAAGTTGTTCAAAGAGTTTCAGTACGGCTGTAAGACAGCATGATTGCGGAGCAAAATAACTTTGTGATACGATGCAGCTGCTATTTATTCAGAAAATGCCGTTTTTTTAAATATAATCTCATTTTCGATTTAGCTCCAAATTTCGAGATTATTAAAATATGCACGCCAAAAATCGCAATGTTGTTAAAGCAGACGGTAATAGGTATTTGTTAAATGGGATCGAAGCAATCGCAAATGAGATTGCATTTTAGAGAATCGACGTGTTGATCTTAAAGTCTACCGCTAACAGAGCGCTTTTGGAATATATTCCAGGGGGCCAATCGCCTAACGGAAATGCTTTGGAAAACGCTAACGCTTACGATTTTATTTTGTTATTTCTGACCGCCGAAGGTTTTCAAATGTCTCACGCTCATTTTCTTTAATATTGTTATTACCAACGCAAAAGAAAAAAAAGGGCGCGAGGCATTTGAAAACCTCAGGCGGCTAGAAATAACAAAATGAAATCGTAAGCGTTAGCGTTTTCCAAAGCATTTCCGTTAGGCGAATGGTCCCCAGGGCAGGGATGACGAAGCTGCACATACAACGTGACGTGCCATTTGTCTAAAGAAATCTTTCATGGCTCATCAACGTGCCATTGAATAAATTTGACTATGTGATTTTTGGGAAAATAATTATAATAAATAAATAAAATAAAATAAATATTTCCAACACTCACACCAATTAGCTTAGCCCCAAAGTAAGCACTATAAGGCTTGTGTTATGGGATACTAGGGTAACGGATAGAATACATATATACATATAAGTATATTTATATAGAAATACATATTAAACATCCATGACTGGAGTACAAATGCTCGTGTTATCACACAAACATCTGCCCCCACCGGGATTCGAACCCGGGACCTCTCGAGTCGGTGACGCCATGAAACCCGGCGTACAAACCACTCGGCCACGGAGGTCGTCGAACAATAAATATTATCTAAAATAATTCTAAAATAATAATCTAAAATAACAAAAAGAGGTACAATTTGCCATGTTTCATTAATATGCGCAATTTAAATTAAAGTAAAATTTGTGGGAAATCTGTTATTGTACTTGTAGCGTGGGAATCACTCGCGTTTGCACATCATATAATACCTACTTCACACTTTTTGTCGTACCCACTGCCCTCTTTTATTCATGATTTTTGTGATCAACGTCGTGTTCAAAATATTGTCATTGGTTCACCATCCGTGTTCTAGGCGATGTTCTGGTAACCCTGACACAAATGGTTCCCTGATAACATAATAACATATTAAGCCCAACCAATCTAAATGCACCGTCATTGAGGTACAAAGTACTCGTATATACTAAACAATATGAAATTTAGTAACACATTTTACGACCGACTATTTTGAAAATTCGCAGACCAAACGCACTAACTATTCCTGCTATTAACTCGATCAAGCACTTAACACATTTAATTCAGTTTACTTTAATAATTTCTGGGAAATATATTTGTTAGGATTTGGGACAACTTAACAAATATTGTTGTCGAAAACGGGAAACTGGTTTTACCTACTATTATATATTAATCGCTGTTCGTCGTAAATGTTGTTTGTATTAATGTCCAGTCCAATGTCCATGAATCAGTTCGTTTACGATTGTTATTGTTGTTGAAAGTAAGATAATCCTACAAATATTTTAAATGAGCAGTTTAGTATTATCTTTATTTGTCAATATGAAGGTGAGGTTGAAATTGTACACAGTTTGAGATAGGATTTAGGAGTTCATAAAGTTAGACATCACAATATTCTGGAACTAAGAAACTCCTGTAGAATATTATAAATGAGCAGGTTTTATTTTAGTTTTTTACGCAATCACGTCAAGATTGCAGAACGTATTTAGATAAAATTTCATTCTGTGGTAGTTTTTACATACATACGCTACTTTAAATATATTTAAGGTTCCTGTGGGATTTTCAAACAAATTATTTTTATATAGTCATTGGTAATTGTATTTTATTACCTAACTTTTTTGAGGACAGGCATTCAACACGAGTTTATGAAAAAAATACATACCAAAATTGCTTAAACAAGGTTTGAAACACATACTTTTCTGTAGTAAGACCACTAGATTTTTTTTTAATGTCCACGCGAAAGAAATCGCGCATGAGGTCTGGTAACAATAACAAATTCTGGACAACACACAACAATTTATTTTTAGTTAATCCTAAACTCGTTCTCCTAAACTCCGTGTGTACTATAAAAAATATAGATGAAATGGGAACAAATATAATTTGATTTTGTAAACCATTACAGTCCCCTACCAATATCGGGATCAAATCCAAAACTTGAGAGGAGTATGAAGAAGCATTGACGTTATCGATAAACTAACTGTCAATAATAAGGAAATCTCGTAATAATAAGGAAATTCTAATTAATGCTGGTTAATATTTTCAGTTTATTGACAAAATTAATAACAACATAAGTTACTGACGCGATTCAGTAGTTTAACTCACGTAATTCAGGATTATAATGGGAAGGAAGGAAACATTATACGCACTGTAGACTGGGCAATGTCTTGTCTTGTTTTCAATATTTATATATTGAAGACGATTCACCTCGCTTGTCAATAGCCTCACCCCAGATGTGAGTATGATTTTTGGTACACCAAATGAGATAAGAATGTTGTTATAATCAAAACAAACTATTATGACTGTTAAAATTTGTTTTACCATCCTCGGAAGCATTAGAAACGATTATGTCTTTATCAGCAATGACAGCGCGTGCTCTGCTCTGAAGCTGACTCACGATGATATTAAGTATGCAGATTTTTTTCTGCGCATCGACATTGGTTGCTTTATTGGCGCCACAATTAAATGAGTGAGTAAGCAATGTCTTTAATACGTTTTCTCGTTTATTAAGGTGCAAAATTTATTACATCGTCATATTTTTTTTCGTTCATCTTTAGCGTGTCGCTTTACATATTTAATTGTTATTGCAAGATTCAGGTCTTCTCAACAAGCATCAGTGGTTCAGTGGTAGAAAAATGGCTTGCTACCCGGCGGCCTAGGTTCGATTCTCAAGCGAGGAAGATCTTATATTTATTAAGATTTTAAATTTCACTTGCATCATGGTTTCGCAGTTATTGGCCCCTTCGTACACAACGCCAACCTTCGATACCAACTACTTTGATCTCTATGAGACTACCTCAATACAAATTCATAGAGGTTCGTTCGTACGCAACACAATATACGCATGCCGGCGCTGTCGCCATTTCGTTGGGTACCCTTGGTACGAACCTATATCGAATTCAATCTCGATATGCGGCAAATGAGGAGCTCGATGGCGTAAGCGATTAGCGCGTTCAGCCGCGATCGTTGAAGTTAAGCAACTTTAGCAGTGGTCGGTCATTGGATGGGTGACCAAAAATTTACTATCTTGAGCAGTTGGTTCCGGCTGCATCTGCAGTCGTTAGTCATGGCCCAATCTCCTTACATTATCCATAGGGGAGGCCTGTACCCCGGCAGTTAAGCAGGGGACATTAAAAGGCTGATAATGATGATGTGTGAAATGACAAAAACTTTTGTATGGAATTTTGTACGGACGTAACGAGAATTAAAAATCATCCACCCAAAACTTCTTGACATTTGACGTGTATCGAGATCGAATTCAACTATTCGAATTCAATATTCGTTCGTGCCAAGGGTACAGTACCCTTAGCACGAAGCAATATCGAATTCGTATCGTTTGCGATGTCATTGTCAAATGTGTACTGATTTTTTAGTTCTCGGTTCTCGTTACGTACTTTGTGCCGCTGCTGTTCAAGTTTCCATACAAAATTTGACACTGACATTTCGGTTTGCAAACTATTTGAATTCGATAATGGTTCGTGCTAGGGGTACTGTTCTGTCCGTCCTGGCAACGCTGCGACCTCTCTGACCAGTGATTAGTACCGATCATCATTTGATCATAATGCCTAAATATTCCCATCGTAGACACAGCAATACGCCCCTGCATGATTTCTGGATATCAGTGGAACCTTGAAACTGCTACGTTTGACACAAGTATATGTTATCAGTTACTTAAGAGCTCATGTTTCATTATCGGTAATTGCGCGACTCGATGCGTGGACTTTGAGTGTGTGTGTGAGTTTCTACTACTATCCAGATAACTGTAAGTACCTCATTGCAAAGATTAACTAATTACTGTTTGAAGAACGCATCCTAGACTCCACCGTCAAGGGTTCCTAGTCTTAAGATTGGTAAATAAAATAAATTAATAGTTTAAAAAAACTAGAAAAACATGCTTTTATAAATGCACATAAAAATCAAGAAATAATTATGGACCGTTCAAGTTATCTCTATTTCTGGGCTGAAGTGTAAACTATGTGCTTTTTACTTATAATATTTGATTGTAAAAACGTGGACCGCTGACACAGGCAAGACTTTTTGTACTTTTACAATCAAATATAATATAATTAAAAGCACATAGTTTATACTTCAGCCCAGAAATAGAGACAAATTGAACGATCCATAATTTATTTTTGGTTTTTACGTGCATTTATAAAAGCTTATTTTTCTACTTTTTTTAAACTATTAATTTATTTTATACTTTTTAGTCTTTGATAACGAAATATTTTTATCATTTATACATTTATTTTAAGTAGGAGAATGAGCTCGCATCCTCTCCAACTCCTCCAGTGCCAGTATTGCATGCTGTTTTACCTGTCAGTTTAGATCAATCTAGCTCTTCAATCTGGTGACCACTAAGTGATTTTACTCTACTTAGGGCCACATACGCCTGTTTAGCCGCAAAAGTACAGGACCCTAACTACACCACTGCGTGGTCTATCGTACAGCCTTGCATCTTGTGCACGGTATATGCCCAACTTAAAATCACCGGAAGCATGCGCCTTTCCACCGTACCAAAGCTATACTTCGCCAGGAACTGGATGTCTATGGGCTGAATTAGGTGCTCGCCGTCGTTTCCGAAATTAACTTTGATGGACGGTATGCCGGTTTCATACATTTGGTCGCGTCTAAGGTGCGGCCAGACGATGTCTGAGATGAATCCGATACTCCCATTCACTAGCCCCTTCTTCACGCTTATATTGGATGGCAACATGATTTTAGCCCTCTGAAAATTCTAAATTTACTCGGTAGTCCACTATCTCTCACACTCGGTTCTATTTATATCGCTGGGAATAATGAACTCCAAAGTTTCGGGTCGCGTTAATAAGTTTGTCTTGACCTATGATGTCGTACATTCGAGTAACTTTTCCTTCGTAAAATTTAAGAGCTTCATTGTTTATGCTTCTGTACTTGGTTGTTTGTTTTATTTGTGGCACGTTTTCACTGAGTTCTAAGGTTTATTGCTCTTTCCTTTTATCCTGTCAAAGTTCATTAAAAGAAATTTTTAAGAAATCCAAAAACAGCTATGATACGATGTTCCATCATGAAGTTCCAGTTCATATCTTCCGGCTTCATCATCAGGTCAGTTCGAAAGTACCATTTTATTATATTTTCATCAGAACTACATACAGCTGCCAATTTTAATTACGATCCTTGAAAGATGGTTAAATTAGTTATCTTAGATTCCATTATATAGTTAGAGCTAGTTCCCACTTGTCGGGTGTCGGATCCGTATATTAATCGGAGGTTCCAGTGGCAGAGCATTATATATGAAACTATTCACAATTCTCGGAAACCGATTTTGTGTCGGCTCCGACAAGAAGTGTCGGGTGTTTTGCCAGCCCTCTACGCCCGGAAAAAAATCGTGTCGGATCTCGCTCGCCTATGATTAAGAATGGCGCTGTTCATATTTGTCGGGTGTCGGGGCTGACTATCCTCCCCCGCTACCCCTTGTTCCGTCCGTAACGCAACCCTTTTTTCAGTACAAATGCAGTCTCTAAGTCCTGTATTTTGGTAGTTTATGTTCACTCATATTTGAGTCAGTAGATCGTTGAATGTTGATATTGACATCCTAAAATAATAGAAACACTTAATTTCGTCACTTCTCATTTCTGTTATTAAGTTCTGAAATTTACCCAAAATTAAATCTTTCCCTCAGGAATGTGTGCACCCAATATTTACATTCCATGGCTCTCTTTCTTTGTTTTCTTAAATAATAATAATAACATCACAACAAGAACTTCGTCAACGTCCATCGTGAACAGTCGCCTCGTAGAGTGCCTAAAATTGGATAAAGCTTCAACCGTGACCGACAACCGTAACATCCGATTAATATACGCATCCGACACCCGGCAAGTGGGAACCTGCTCTTAGTTGCCTCACGGAGCCCGCTTTTATTTTCCTCTGTACCTACTCTTCTCAGTTTTTGTAGCCCTGGTAGATCTACCAAAAGGTAGCGTTCTCTGTAGTTTTCTGTATGATGAGGTTCCCTTTCCCCGACCATTTCAATTCTAGCTGAGAAAATCCACTGTACCCTACTAAGTGCTCTAATAAAAATTTAATTCTCATCATGTTCAAGCCTTATTCTATCCTTTACTTTAAACAATTTACGAACATGGAATGACGTGATAATCCTGATTAATCCTTCAATTTGATCAATGTTTCCAAGTGTGATATATAAATTTACGTCGCGCGTGATATCCAGTTCGCATAGGCGTGCCCACAGTTATGTCTTATCAATGAGACGATTCAGTATCACCGACCGAATTATCACCACGCGCCTCATTTCATATACGTATTAATGACCTTACTGACAGGCTGATAAAGTTGCCATCTGCGCTTAATAGCTTATTCACACTCTCTTTGACCTTGTAAAGTTTACTATTCCTCTTAAAGTAATATATCTATCTTAACCGTTTTTTACTTTTTCTTTGAAAGGCTATGAAAAGCACTAATATCATGAATTTTTCAAAGTTTTTCAAGCCAGTAGTTTAGCTTTTAGAGAGGGGAGGGACGCCCTACTCGAACAAAAATGAACACTTTAAAGTTCAATATATTACAAACGGATCCCTAAATCGAAAAATAGCCTTCTAAGTAATTTTAAAGGACCTATTTAACGGTACCCCGCAATATAGGGTAGACGATGGAAAAAAATCATCCCCAGGTTACATGTAGGGGAGCAACAAAAAAAAAACTAATTTACATGATTTTGTTCTACTATTTTGTCGACGTCATCTATTTATATAAAACTCAAAGGTGAGTGACTGACTGTCATAGTGATCTATCAACGCACAGCCCAAAGCACTGGACGGATCGGGCTGAAATTTGGCATGCAAGTAGATGTTATGACGTAGGCATCCGCTAAGAAAGGATTTTGATCAATTCTACCCCCAAGGGGATAAAATAGGGAATGCAAGTTTGTATGAAACTTTGTCAATTTTAAACCGATCGGGCTGAGACTTTGCATGCAGGTATAAGAAGAATTATATAGATGAATGTCATTGTGTATAATACAAGCCTGAGAACAAAAACTGTAGTCTACACTTCAGCTCTACACCGAAGCGAAGCGAGGGCGGGCCACTAGTTGATATACATTTATCCACAAAATTGCAGCTCTCTAGTGCTAACAGTCTCCAAGCAAGACAGGGGACGGACAGACGGACATGACGAAACTATAAGGGTTCCTTGTCAGGACTACGAAACCCTAAAGACGAGGATTGATATTGAAGATTGAGTTCTGTAATAAGACTCCTTTGTCACCATAACACTTGTCAATACATCTAGGATATTCAGTGTTGCCATGTTGTGAGCGGATATTAGGACAAGCCCCCAGCCCAAGGCCACCGTGAGTCACATCCTGTTCACCCCAGCCATCGACCGCGGCTCCTTACCTTGGCGATGGTCAAGGTTGTCAAGGTCGTCGTCAACTAAGTGTGTAAAATTTGTCATAGCCAAGTTCTAGTGTTTATTACACTTACTATATTGTGGTTACGGGATAAAAAGTAGTTTTTTCTTAATGTTAAAAGAATAGCAAACAGGCATATGGCCCTCATTGTAAACGGCCGCCATAATCGGTAGACGCTTCATTATCATCATCAATTTCCCAGCATCACCAGACATTTAAGAGCATATTAAATTTTCGGTTCCTAGAAATGATAGCCGGCTGCAAAATCAAAAGACTTTTGTACTGCCCCCCTGTAAGACAAGACTCGGGAATCACTCTCCTCTGTATAGAATGTTTTTAACCTATAATATAATTCGAAATGATTCCGACATATTTAAAGGTCCTATAGCCTTAACCAGAAAATGTTTCAAATCAATATTCTTTAGATTAAGTTCTATTATAATTTTTATTATTTTAAAGTATGTAACTACTTGATGTTTAAATCTAAAGAAAATATAACTAGAAAAAAATCCACGCGGACCAGGCAGCAGACGGGACTCGAACCCGCACCCTTCGCAATCCGGGCGAATGCACTGCACCAATTATGCTACCGCGGCCCTTACGGACCGCGTCGAAATTCTTCTAGCCATTCTTAAGCTGCAAGGCAGCGCCATCTCTTCGCATTATAGCTAGCCCACAATGTCAAATGCATACTTTTACAAGTATTAAACATTTGAAAGAAGAAATAGAAATTATAGTTATAATTTTTATTATTTTAAAGCATGTACCTGCTTGATGTTTAAATCTAAAGAAAATATACTGCCTGGTCCGCGTTGAATTTTTTCTAGTTATATTTTCTTTAGATTTAAGTTCTATTAGTTTTAACTTTCACTTTAAGTACTAAAGTTTAGCCTATATGTGCTATCTATTAGAAGGTTGCAAAGTAGTTGATGTTTTCTTCGTATGTAAGATGCCTGAGTCGAGTATAGCCACCATAAAGTTTATTTCCTTCTTTTGTAACAATAAAGCTAAAACAAATAATTGTTAGCATTTATAAATGAAGAATGGCTATTTAGTATTTATCTTTACAACATAGACAAAACATACAAAGACATTCAACGATAAATAGTTTTTTCAACAGTTATTAAAAAAAATGTAATTCGCCATATTTGCGCAAAGGGAGGTAAATATTTCAATGCATGTGGCCATATTTACTCTATGAAGATAGTTATTTAAAAAACTTCTGAAAGAAAAATCGATAATATGTTTTACGACAGCATTTATTTCTAGTTTTTCTTTTACATATATAAAATGTTAAAAAAACTTATAAGCTCGTTTTTTACATGAAACAAATATTACTTTCTCCGGATATCGTTCTGAACCCTACATCCCAAGGTTGTAGTGAGTCATGGGCGAGGGTTTTCGCCCCGGCCGGGTATCGACCGCTCTTCCTTGGAACCGGTCAGGGTCAATACAACCTTCACCATGCCCTAAATACCGATACTGTAACGCCCACAGAACACAGAAAGAGGTTAGAAGGGTGATCATAACCCTTTTGTAAGGGAACCGATGGTGCCCGCTCGCCCCCACTACATTTCCACATTATAGATAATAGCCAATCAAACGCCGCGACATCAAACAATCGTACCAATCAGCGCTCATACCGAGAGCAACGATGCAATCAGAACCAAGTTTTGTTCAAGATTTGCTGCATTTGCTCACACATAAACGCCGGTGATAATGGTAACGCCCCTATGCGTTACTTTCCTTCTTGCTCGAACTAACGGCTGGCAGTTTACTAGTAGAATACTTTATGGTTTGAATGCTTAATAACGAATAATATAAAAAAGGACAATCTAGTGTCATCAAGCCGTCTGATGTTATCTAAAAGCGATTGAAGAAGTGAATAAAATATTAATCTGAGAAGCTTCGCTGTGTTTAATTATCGAAGAGCTCCCGCCATCTAAAGTTACGCTGCCCAAGGATCTGCACAGGAGATCCCTGACAGACTGACCTACAATTCTGATGCTATAGTTAGAATTGTAAGTGAATTAGAAAAAAGAAAAAATGGTCTGCAATGCTATTTCGTAAAACCTTCACGCGCGGTTCCGATGTGGATCCGCGCGAATCTGTATGGGGTAATTTTAGAGAAGAGCACTGCTGGTTTTATGATACCACAATGCTAGTTAAATATTAAAATCATCAATAAAAAGTCCTTTCTCGGCTGGAAATCGAACCTGGGGCGCCCGGGCAGCATGCCAACTTTTTACCACCAATGCTTGTTGACTATGTCCGAAATTTTCAATAACAATTTAAAATGTAAAGCGACATGCTTATATGAACAAAAAAAACTTTGATAATCCCAGTCTTCACATTAAAAATATGTGGACAGTACCCCTAGCACGAACCATTATCGAATTCGAATAGTTTGCAAACCGAAATGTCAATATCAAAGGTTGTATGGAAACTTGAACAACAGCGGCACAAAGTACGTAACGAGAACTAAAAATCAGTACACATTTGACAATGACATTTCGGACTCGCAAACGATACGAATTCGATATTGGTTCGTGCTTAGGGTACAGTTCCAGTCCGTTGACAGGTTTTACTATTTAAACAGAAAAGATAACGGCTGCAACATCCCATCTCATTCCCTCGTTCCCCGTCCAAAATGGAAATCAATTTCATTTGTCATTTATCTGTCTCATACGAGCTAAAACTTCTGATATCAACAATTTGACTTCTAACAAAGAAGAGTTTAATATTTCCCACTACATATTTTTTTCTTAGGTTTTCACGCACTCATTAATCACTCAGAAATGTCTCGTAATTTTGGAACCGGTGGTAGCTTACGGTAGTTAGGGTCAAATAAATAAGGAAACTCAAAATTAAAAAAAGTAAATAAATAAAGTACTTATTAATTAAATTACCTAATAAATTCATGCATAAACAATAAAGTATTGCAATTTATTTAAAAATCTTCCAATGAAATATCCGAACGCTAAATAAAAGTCATTCGAAGGTAGTTCGACAAAGGAAATAAAAAATCATTATTCTGACGACGCATTCCTGCAAAGGCTGCGAAACGTCAATAAATAAATAAAATCAGTGCATCTAACCTGTTGAAACTTGTTTCATTTCCCAAAACAGCTATTATACACGTGCCGAAAATTATTATATATGTATACCTGCT